AAACTAAGTTCAAAATAATATTTTACAAGAAATGTGTAATATTGGGTATGTGAATAAAATAAAATAATTTTATTTTTAATTGAGATTAGTAATAACTAATAACATTGATTTAAATATTAAAAAGGACAAATATGAAAAACTTAAAAAATAGATAAAAATATAAAATAAATAAAACCCGTCCGCAACTTACTGTCAGCGGGAGTGTACATGCATTAGTCTATCATAAATAAATTAATGTACTCTCCGATTAGTGACATAAAAAAGTATGGTAAATTACATCATTTTCTTGCATATAATATAATATTATGTAGATAGTTGTTTAAAACCTTAATCTTAAAAATCACACTATTAATTGTAATTCATTGTTATGTGATTTTAAATTAACAACTATACATTTTTCCAAATAGGTAGGTACTGCATAAAATTATGTACTACTTACATAAAATGTTACTTAGGTACTAATGATTTAATTGTTTTCAGATTATTTATTAAATTACACGTTCGTACCTAGACTTATAAAAGTCTTTGTATTTAACAACAAATGCCTTTTTATAAACTGAACTTTTTTATAAATGTCACCATGGCCACTAGATAAATGTAACAGAACACAAAATGAAATATAATTTGTCATTTGTGTTTGCTTTTTGAGTTTTTAAATAGGTACAAGTATACAACTATTAATTTACTTGATAAACTTGATACTACAAAAGTACAACATAATTAAATGATTAAAACAAAAATACTATCCTATTGATTGTAGCCCAAGACAGATTGAATATTATGTTTTACATATTATATTAAAATAATTTAAAAGGAAATTTATATTCAATTTGGTTCTACTTATTTTTTTATTATAAACTGTGTTTTTTGTCTGATTTATTTTAATAGTTCAAGATGTCAAACAGACAACCAGGTCCTTATTATTCTGGAAATTTTTAAAATGTAGAATGTAGAATGTAGTTATTTTAGTATATAGGTACATTCAATCCATAAGTGATAATCCATGATAAATATTTCTTTGTCGTGTTATAATCATTATATTACAATTTTCAGTACATAATTACATTTTTGTTTCATTGTATTTATTCCGTACCTAGGTACATATTATTAGTTTTGATTGTAACAAATATTAAAAATGAAAATGTATAATATTGATAGGTATGTTGTAAATTAAATATTGTTCTTTTACATAAATCATCCTATTTTAAAAGTAAGCAATAGATACCTAATTTAGATTTGTTAATAAATAATTCATACATGTTATTATTATCAATATTATTTATTCTAAACCTGGAACTTAGAAATATTGACCACAGATTTTAGCTTTAAATACACCATTAAGAAGTGCTTCTAAAACTATATTACGTGAATAGTTTAAATTTTAAAATGTTTCATTTTTAAGTTAAAATCGTTCAATTATTTGTGGTAAATAAATGAATAAATGATTGGTCCTGCAGTGCATTTGGAAAGGTTTTGTAAATGTTGGTCCTCAGTTCCTCGCAATACTGTGTGAGTGTGCTTGATTTTTCGTAAAAAAAAATACTAATTCTGGTCATCTCCCTGGATGGGCGTATTTTTTTAATTTTCCCCGGGTGTTAAAAAGCTATGATCCGGCGCTGTATGTAACTAACACCCGACTTTCTGTTTAAAATATTGTTTACCTACTGTTTTTGATTCAATATATTATACATATTATACTAAATCAAACTGTTCAAATACACACACAATTTGTTAAAATAAATAAATAATATTAATCGTATCAATGACATACTGCAAGTTAGGTTAAGTTAAATTATACTTTTATTAAAAACGATGTAATAGATAGGTATGTATACTAAACATATTATATTTTTTAACAAAACAACAAAAAGGGCAATGTACCATATTCAAATGGATTTTAATATTGACATCCCTATGATTAATTTTGTTAATAACATGCACTAAATAGCCTTGATCTGATCATAACAATGATCGTATATTTATTTTCTTGAAATTAATTAGGTACATTAAGACAGTGTAATTTATTAGTACACCTAATTGTGTTTATAATATGTTTTTATCATTTATCATACAATAAACACACATTTATATAAATATATAGGTACTTTGGGATTTTCTATTTTTTGTAAATTAATGAACTTTATAAATATCGACTTAATAATCGAATTATCGACGCACACTTTTTTACTAACAAAAAGGGCTGGTGCAATATGGATCATAATTACACGTTGAACAAAGTGCGCTGATAGTCTAGACAATCGATTAGGTAAATGGTTTTTTGACTTCAAACATTTGGACAGACCCAAAAACCACAAAAAAGAAGTGTAAAATATGCGTACTTACACCGTTGATGACTGATAGCTAGACACTCAAACTTTTAAACATTCCCGCCAATGCGCCAAGCTTTATCTCCAATCCATATCACTAACTCTTATCACAAATCCTAAACTTTCATCTTACGACTGTCGCTACTTTTATAATTGAAACGACTCTTACTCCAAAATCGGTACCCCCTAATTCAGCGAGTCTCATAAGCCAACTAGAATCTATATTTTTGATTATTCACTATTATCTGCTCAACTAACGGGGTCCGCAATCCACCGCAGGTGGAGTGCATACCTGATAATATACGCTTCGCATATTGTTTACCGATGTGATTTTATGACTGATAGCTAGACAATCAAATACACATATCGACTCTACACTTTTTAACAATTTCAACAACGAAAAGCAGCTGACAAACGCCTAGAGATCCTGGAGATCGTATCCATTTACAATGTTCGTGACGGATTGCTAGACGCTCAAACTTTTAAACATTCCCGCCAAAGCACCAAGCCTTATCTCCAATCCATATCACTAATTCTTATCACAAATCCTAAACTTTCATCTTACGACTGTCGCTACTTTTATAATTTAAACGACTCTTACTCCAAAATTGGTACCCTCAAATTCAGCGAGTCTCATGGGCCAACTAGAATCTATATTTTTGATTATTCACTTATCTGCGCAACTAACGGGGTCCGCAATCCACCGCAGGTGGAGTGCATACCTGATAATATACTCTTCGCATATTGCTTACCGATGTGATTTTATGACTGATAGCTAGACAATCAAATGCACATATCGACTCTACACTTTTTAACAATTTCAACAACCAAAAGCAGCTGACAAACGCCTTGAGATCCTGGAGATTGTATCCATTTACAATGTTCGTGATGGATTGCTAGACGTTAAAACTTTTAAACATTCCCGCCAAAGCGCCAAGCCTTATCTCCAATCCATATCACTACTCCTTATCACAAACCCTAAACTTTCGTCTTACAACCTTTGAGACTTTTATAATACGTGGAAGTGGAAGTGGCAGATGGGGTGGAAATGGTCGACGACGGGGTGGAGGAAGTGGAAGTGGCTGACGACGGGGTAGTGGAAGTGGAAGTGGCCGACGACGGGGTGGAGGACGACTATCCGGTAGAGGATATTGAGTACGTGGTAGTGGTCGAACTACCCATAGGGCGTGCGCCAATGATTTACCGGCAGGCGGGCGTGACACACCCGCTTCCAGAGCGGCACAACGCGGGCGCGTTAGACAGAGTCTGCCCGCCACTTCAGTGAAGAGCAAACGTCCAGGGGTCATTTCTACACGTGTTGTAACAACGGCCAAGTGGTCGCTGCAGGACAACACGCATTGTTGCCCGTTCCCTATTTAATTCAGAGTTTATTTATAGATGATTCACAGGATGGCCGTAGATTCCGGGCGGACATTCGGCGTTACAACAATGTTCTGGCATTCGCTGCGTTTACCTGGGACGCACACGACAGGCGTTTGCCAGGGCGGGGACCGCCGGTGTGGATTGTCCACGGTCAGACCTATCGGAGGACCTACAATGAGGTGGCCGTTGCCCCGGGAAGTGCCAACAACTGTCAAGATCCCGGGTTTTAATGCCTAACGGCTACAACCGCGGACCTTATGTTAGCACTGGGTGCTAGTCAAGAGCCGCGGAGGGTCACGACCGACGGTCGGCAGTTTAACCCGCCGGCCGCAGGCCGCGCGTCGTCTAAGGACCACGAGCACCGGACTCGCACGGGGGACTACCCCGGAGCGCCCGTACCATCCGGCTAGGGCATACAGGTGCCTTTCGCCACCCTGGTGAGGCCGCAATCTATCCACTTTGCTTTCCGTTTTTGGTCACGGACAACCTTCGCTGCATATAGCTCCAACGATAAGCTGGGTGAGCGCTAAGGAGGGCCGTGCTTTCCCGGCCGACTGTCGCCGTACGAGTCCGCCCGGTCCAGTCACTCGGCAGCCTTCCCCTGGCCAAGCGTGAGGCCTATCACCACATAGTATGCTCCTGCAAACTGCCACTTCGAAACCAAACCGCCGTCGGACGAGGCAGTGTCCACCACGACCGACGTGTGAGGGCTCGATGTTAATCTCTCAACACCGAGGGGCCCCCTCACATCCCGAAGCACCATTCTCGCCTCCCGTAAGGTAAGGCACATCATTGGTCGGATGCTCGGACGAAGCTTCGTCGGCAAGTAGCCTCAGCTTATGGTCCTCCCGAGATTTGGGCCTTGTACCACGGGCTCACGGTGGGCCCCCAAAACTCCGCCTCCCAGAGGCGTCACCAGGTGGCTAAGCCCAGTGACCGACCCGTTCTTCATGAGGTCACGGTCAGAACCTCCCAACGCCCTAATCCCCGTAGGTTTCGGTGCGTCCGCGCCCCCGGCGCCGACCCCGACTGGTCAATTCCCTTTTAGTCGCCTTGTACGACAAGCAGGGAATACTGATGCGAAATTCTGTACGGCCCTCGCAACAGGGCCGGACTCCGCGTCCCTGACGTATGAGCACGTCCCGGGCCAGAACGCGCTCGAGCGTGTTCCCCCGTTTCTGCCACTTACGCCTTACGTGCTCATCGGGAACACCCCGAGACTTTGCCTTCCGTCGTGGACGGGGCAGCGTTCTGACCCATTGGGTCTATCACCCATATTCGATTATCCGATTATCTGTCGATCCTGTTCGTGAGTGCTTCTCTCGCGAAGGACTTAAGGGCTTGGAATGTTCTGCGAGACTTGAGGAAGGCTCCGTTTTCTGGAGGCCACGCTTCTCCTTCTTCTCTCATTTTTATTTTCAATTTGCGTCTCGCTGATGCTGTTCTTGGGCAAAACCTGAGGACGTGGTTCACCGTCTCCGGTTTGCGGTCACATGCACAGATCGGGTCGTTAACCAGTTTAAAACCATAGAGTTTGGCTTTAAAGTCCCCATGACCGGTGAGGAACTGAGTGGGGTAGTGCTCAAGGTCCAGAGGTAGATGGTACCGCTGTCTCACGGACGGTATCATTTTCTGCGTCCAACTACCTTTGTTTGTGCTCGTGTATCTGTCCTGCCACTCATTTAACAGCTCGAATGTTATCGTGTCCATTTCGTCGGCTGATATTCTCTCTCGGGCCCGGTTTCTCAATGCCGCTTGGTGCCTAATCTCCAGGTCAAGCGGGAGAGTTCCTGCAACTGCTGACAAGCAATTCGTCGAGGCAGTTCTGTACGCACCGGTTATCGCCAACAATGGTTTCCTTTGAGCACTAAGGAGTTTCGCCCGGCTTTTGCGTAGTTTTGATCCCTCAGCCCAAATCTCCGCTGCATACGAAATTCTGGGCAGGAACACGCCCTTATATATGGTGTTGGCGGCAGATTGGCCCATGCCCCAATTTGCCGAATACAAGGCTCTAAGTCGGCTGTACATGTCATCCGACTTCTTGCATACCGACAAGACGTGGTCCCAATAACTTCGTCTTGGGTCAAGGACGACACCAAGGTATTTGGCCGTAGGAGAAGACTCGATCCTAGGCGCGTCGGCTGCGGTACCAAACAAAATACTGTATCCAGGCTTCAGTCCGCCTTTAAGGGAGAGGAGCTGAGTTTTCCCCGCGGAGAACTCAAGAGCGAATTCTGTTGCCCATGTAGTGAACTTGTCCAATTGTTTTTCTATTCGGTTAAAGGCTGTCTTAGGTCTGGCCGCCCCTACCATGAGCAGTATGTCGTCAGCATACGTTAGTATCTTCGTACTGTCAGGGCTTATAACTGAGCCATATATTGGTGTGATTGCGACCTTCCAGAGTGTTGGTCCAAGCTGGGACCCTTGAGGGCATCCTCGTTCCAGCATGCGCCTGTACCACACCCCTTCCATGTGGAAGTTGGCCCATCTGTTCGTCAAGTATGACTGTACAATTCTGACTGTCCCAAGTGAGGCCCCTAGGTGAATGAGCTGAGATAGGAGAGGAGACCATTTCACATTGTGAAACGCGCCCGTGATGTCTAGGAAGGTACCAAAGATATGCCGCGAACTGGACGAGTCGACCAGTCATAGACTGCTTCCAGAGCACCGGAGGTGGATTTACCCTTTGTAAAGCCGTGCTGTTCTACGTGCGTGTCCAAGGTGGTCTCGTTTATAATTTTACCTATTATTATAGTCTCAAGTGTTTTCCCAAGGACAGGAAGCAGGCTGATTGGTCTGAACGACTTGACCAGAGATGCGTCAGTTGCGCCAGGTTTCGGCACCAGTACCAGCTCCGCCGTTTTCCAACAATCAGGGAATTGACCTGCTTTGACGCACTGGCCGAAGAGATGCGTTATCGGTTCTCTGAGCGCGGGCCAAGCCTTCCTGAGCATCCGGGCCGTAATTCCGTCCATTCCAGGAGCGCCCGAAGGTTTGATTCGCCATATGGCCACTTTTATAGACTCCGGATCAAGGGACTCCGTGTATTCCAGAGGGCCCTGGTAGACCAGTTCGCCTTGTTGCGGGTCTCTCGGCACAAACTTGTCCAAAGCCAATTCGACTGTGTCCAGACAGTCAACAGTTTGAGAGCCGTCTTCTTTCGTGAGCGTGCTCGGGATCGATCTTGGTCGACTGCCTTTCTTGGCCCAGCTGAAGGCTCTGGACCAAGGGTTAGTGTTCAATTCATTAGCATAGTTTTTCCACGTGTCGGCTTTGTGCTTTCTGATTGCCGTCAGGAAACTGTTTCTAAGTGTGTTGTACTCCGGTCTGTTAAGACCTTGGTGTCTCTTTCGGACCAGATCTTTTCTTAGTGATGCCAACTCTGGGGACCACCATGGGTTCTTGCCCAGGCCACCAGACGGTCTCTTTTTCGTCATGGCTTTATCCGCAGCTGTAGTCAGAGCACGGGTTATGCCCGCAGCCATAGCGTTAATGCAGTTACAAGGGATGCGGCCTACCTCGCCAAGGAGGGTAGTGTTGAATAGATCCCAATCCGCTGTCTTAGCGTTGTACCGCACTGGCCCCGGGATTCTCGGGGGCGGTTTACGGACGAGTAGGTTATAACTGATAACCCTATGATCACTGTCAGTTTCATCACTGACCTGCCAATTTCTGACTTTATGTCCGATGTCAGCCGTCGTAAGCGTAACGTCGATGTTGGACGTCCTGTTATCTCGGCGGCGAAAGGTGTTCATTTGCCCGGCTATGTTATGAACCCTAAGACCATATTTGTGTATGAACTCATCGACGGTTCTACCGCGACGGTTCCGGGTTTCCGAAAACCAGAGTTTCGAGTGACCGTTCGTGTCCACCCCGATGAGGATACGTTTCTCTTTTTCCATGATCTGGCTTAAACGCTCTATGTGGAGAATGGTAGGGGTGTTGTACTTAAAATAGGACGATACCAGTATAACATCGTCCAACTGTCTAGGACCAAACCTGACTATGATCGCTACGGTGTGGCTTGACGAGAAAGCCCCCAAGAGGATACTCTGATAACGGTTGGTCAGGACTATTACGGCCGCACCGGCGTCGCGACTGATATGCGCCCGCTTACAGGTTTCAAACGCATATATCGAGTTGTTATTCATGATGAGCGGTTCTTGAACAAGTACAAAGTCTATCTTCTGTTCGACACAGAGCTCATGGAGCTGGTGGCTAGCCATGCGGTCCCTGTTGAGATTGTGCTGGATAATTCTAATCTCAGCTGTCATTTGGGGTAAGGTCAGTCGTCCCAAAATCTGTTTGACGGGTAAGTCGTCTGATGGCGGCTGTTCTTGCCGGGCAGTTAGCTGACGCCGCATTGTGGTTCCCACTTCGACAGTTAGGGCACTTTACCGTTTGCGCCGTGCAAGACCGTGAGTCGTGTCGCCCCGAGCATTTCCTGCATCTGGGTTGCTCTTCCCTACATTTTTGGGCCGTGTGGCCAAATCCTTGGCAGTTAAAACATTGTGTTACTGAGTCGAAGAACTTTATTTTGCACTTGGTCATACCCAGATAAGCCGATTTGCCTTCGATCTTCGGCAGAGTTTCTGGGGCGACCTCAACAACCCAATGCACCGCATGTCCGTCTCGTGGACCTAGCATGAATAGCGGTTTTATGCTGCTTTGCTCATGTTCGCTGATATCAAGAGACTCATTCTTGCGTAGCGCCCACGGGATCAGGTCTTTTTCTAGGAGTCTGTCTACAAATTTAATGATGACCCTTTTCCTCCGAGGGCCCCTCTCAACAAGTTTGGTAGTGCGGCGCAGAGCAGCCGCGGTAACCTCGTCCTCAGGGAAGAGAACCAAGCCGCCATTCTTGGACTTTGTCATTCTGACCTTAGGGTTGGGCAGTTTCTGTTCAATTGAATTCCGAAGGTCCTGCCATCCCTCGACACCCGTTTTGACCTCGAATCTAGGGCCTGTCCTGGCGAATCTAGGGCCTGTACTGGCGTGCCAACAACTGTCAGTTGTATTTTTTGGAGTCCGGAGAGGCCAACCACCGGCGTCTCGATATTGCACGACAGAGCAATCATGAACTGTCCGAAATCGTCATAGAATTATTGGACGGTTTGCTGCGGGACATCAATCCGTATGCGATGGCTTTTATGTAAGAAAACTTAAACTATTGTATTTATTAACACTAGGTATGTGAATTGCCCCCCTTAGAGTAAATACTTTTCTTAATGATTTAAAATAGTATCACAACCATACCAACTATTATTATTATTATTATTATCTATGTAACCCTTATAGTAAATTCTAAGTAGATGTTTTATTGTTACCTATTCTGTGTGACTATCTAAGCTTACTACACCCACACACACACACACACACACACATATTTATAATATACATTTTTATTTTATATTGTGTTAATAAACATAATAATAATAATATATTCATTTAGCAACAAAAAGTTTAAGTTATAGATAATAGATGAATAATGACAGACAAGTTTCCTGTAAAATCAGAAAAGCTGAGTTGATAATAAAATAATTGTTATAAAGAGAATGTGTTCATAATTATAAAATAGAAAATATTTAAAAGATAGTTAAACGAAATAGTAAACTTCAAAAACGGGTTGAATACAATAGAAAATGTTTCAATAACTGTTTCTTATAGCTTATAGCTTATTCCTACCAAGTTAAATGCACTGAATGATATTTACATACCATTATATTACCTACATTAAAATTTTGGTTATATAATACATTTACAAAAACCTATTTTCTATTGGTTAATACTTATTTGTTATTTAAGATACCTAAGGTATAATACATGCAATTCCTAAACCTTAGAGTCAATACTCAATGATATAACATTAAATATGACATAGGGTTCGGATGTTTATGACTTATGATATTCGTGTAACTTTGAAGTAAAACTATCTTGGGATACATTCAATAATACATTAATAAATTTTATACTTATTTTTACCTATTGAATATGATTCTCTACGCTTTTACACCTACCCATAAGACACACAAATATTTAAGTATAGATTATACTCTCACTGCTACCAATAAACAGGTTAATGGTTTTAAATTTTACTTTACTATTATTACACATACAATTATTTCTAACAATATAGAGATAAATGAACTGAATATACTATTAATATACTATTAGGTTACATACCTACATTATATTTTAGTTTACAAATCCTTAACTCCAAATACACCAATTACCATATCCTTTTTAATTACAATTCACAATTATTTGTACACATCATGGAGTTTGATAAACATAAATATATAAATGTCTATATTTGTTTCAGGAACATGCGTCAGGTGTGGCTGGCGGAAAGAGCCCTAGCCGATCCCGCAGCTGTGCCACCCAGACCAGTCAGGATGCATTTCGTCGAAGATGCGGCCCGGGATAGGGGCCGAAACAACCTGCCTACCGCAAATGAAGTTGCGGCCGTGTTCGTAGGTGAAGGTGGTCTCCCTCCCAGACACATCAATCTGGTCATCTACGACACCAATCCAATCGACCAACAACGGAGGACCCAATTCATAGTTAGTTAGTTAATAAATATTGAACACTTACAATATTTACTATACACTAGGATTGAAATACTTCCTTTTCGAGTCTAACTGCTACCAACGAAGAGTTAAATTACACCCCATCATATAGCTTTACTACATTATACATTTTAGCCTTTTTTTTTTAATTTAATTACTCAATAACCAATATGTTAGGTCAACGCCGACTTCAACCCTTCCACTTGTGCAGTAATACTTATTACATTAGCAGTTTGAGTTTGTTGGGTGATAAAACAAAAGTCATTTCATTATAATACATTTCCAATCAATTTTCCTCCTGAATAAATTATTTTCATAGTGATAGTATGACAATAAGTTACATTACTTCAATGCTTAATTCACTGTTCTCTTATTTCATAATAACAATATCTAACATCACTTAGAATTATGAACACTTGGTATAGAAATTAGCCGAGTTCATATTTTAGATTATTTTATAAATTACCCTTCTTTTGCGGTTCTAAAAAACATCATGTACTTGCTATACACACAATAAATAAATAACTCACAGTTAAATTACATCCCGTGGTTTTAATATTTTACACAGTAAATATCCGACCACACATACATTATGGACATTCTTTAGGGAAAAACCAACATATATAATAACACTTATTAAATTAACAGTGTAAATTCATTGTGTTTGTGTAAAACAAGCCATTATACATTATTACACATTGAATACAGCGTGGATCGACATAATACCTATTACATGTCTCATCAATTTTTCCTCCTAAATAAATTATTTTCATAATTTTGTAGTGATAGTGTTACAATAAGTAACATTAATCAAATCTAAAGTTACATTACTTCAGTCTTTTGTGCTCTTATTTCATAATTTGACTGACACCACTTTTACAGACATACACTATTAACATATTTTGTGGTTCTACAAAACATTATGTAGGTACTTGCTATACACACACAATAGATATAAATAACTACTAAACGTATCTCCATAAAGTAACTCTCAGCGACTACAGACCTTTGGTTTAACTTAAAATTCATTATATTTCTCAAGGGTCGTGTCACTCGGATCCCATGTTGTATCCGCTGTTTTTCCCGTACGGCGAGGCCGGTTGACATAACGGGATGTTGCAAGAGGGCTCTCGACGAAACAATGTCCGCAGTCGAACCACTATAAGAGAGTTCGCGTGCTACCGTTTGGGCATTCGATATGAGGGAAACAACGACACGAGGCACCAACTGTTCAGCTCAATACATCAAGGCCGGTCCTTGTTGCACATGTTTGTGTGCGACCAATACGTTCAGATGGAAACCAACAATCTGAACTACATACGTGAGAATCAGAGGGATCTCCTTACCGAAGCGTATCAAGGGCTCGTGGACCATGTGAACCAACACCTCAACATCGAACCTATGGCGGTCGGCCGTAGGATCATTTTGCCGTCGACGTTCGTGGGCAGCGACCGATACAACAAGATGTGCTATCAAGACGCTATCACCATGGTCCGTAGCAAAGGAAAACCCGACCTGTTCATAACGTTTACGTGCAATCCCAGGTGGCCGGAGATAACAGAAAACCTGGCGGCTCACAGCAATGCAAACGACAGGCCCGACCTGTCGGCCAGGGTGTTCAACAGAAAACTGCAGGAGCTACTAGGTGACCTGACTGTTAATCGTGTGTTTGGTAATGTAGCCGCTTATGTATATACTATCGAGTTTCAGAAACGCGGTCTGCCCCATGCGCACATACTTATAATCCTGGAGGAGGATTGTAGGTTCCGCACGGCCGCGGACGTCGACGACGTGGTTTGCGCCTTCTTGCCGGACCCGACTGCGTGAAGTCCCACATGATACACGGACCGTGTGGAACAGTCAACCCGCAGTGTCCGTGCATGGTGAACAACAGCTGCTCAAAAGATTTCCCGAAAGCGTACGCAGAGGAGACTGTGTACGTTGCGGACGGCGGCTATCCAAAGTACCGCCGACCGGACGACGGCCGGGTGGTACTTGTGAGAGGTCGTGAAGTCGGTAACGAGTGTGTAGTGCCATACAAGTATACAACCCTTACCTTCTGGCCAAGTACGACGCGCACATCAACGTCGAGATCTGCACGTCCATAAAGAGCGTCATGTATATCTACAAGTATATATACAAAGGACACGACCGTGTGACATTGGAGGTCGAAGAGGAAGATGAAATCACCAAGTGAGTCTTGACCTTACATTATAATTATGTAATTTCTAAAATTAAACGTGCAAATATAATACTATATAATGTTTACATGTGGATGGTATAATGATTATAATGGTGGATTGTATACTTTAGTGTGTTCAGTGTCAGTATGTATGAATTATTTACTACTTTTTAGGGCAGTTGTATACATTCACCAATACCTTTAAGATTTTATATTGTATTATATTATATTATGTGGCTTGGTACAAGAAGAGCGAATGTCATATTTTGACAATGTTCAGGAATTCAATCTTAAACTTCATTTTGGAACTCTAAATGTGTTTTTATTTCATTGTATGACTCTCATTTTGTACGTTTTAGTTTGACATTGGCCACCCAGAAAAATTAATAAAATTACTTAAATAGTTAACTATATACTTATTTACTTATATACTTATTTATTATTAATAAAATATATAATTTATACATGTGTATGGTACAATGATTGTTATTGTGGATTTTATACGCTTATTTAGTGTGTTCAGTGTGTATGCATTATTTACTACATTTTAGGGCAGTTGTATACATTCACCAATACCTTTAAGTTTTTATATTATATTATGTGGCTTGGTACAAGAAGGGCCAATGTCATATTTTGACAATGTTCAGGAATTCAATCTTAAATTTCATTTTGGAACTCTAAATTTGTTTTTATTTCATTGTAGGACTCTCATTTTGTTGTACGTTTTAGTTCGACATACCTGACTAACCTAACCCAGAGAAATTAATAAAATTACTTTGGTTTTGACTAAAATTTAAAATTTAAGAAATCTTTATAAACTTTCTATTGCATACAGTACTACACATCAGTTAAATAAATCATATTATTAAAAACATATATAATTTATACATGTGTATGGTCTAATGATTGTTATTGTGGATTTTATACGTTTATTTAGTGTGTTCAGTGTGTATGAATTATTTACTACTTTATTACATTGAAAATTATTAGCATGTAACAATATTTTATGCATGTTTTAGCAGTGTGTCCGGTGTTATTTTACTCACTGTATTTTAGGTTTTTATACTATAAAAAAAATAGCTATATTATATACTTTACATTTAATGTGTTTATTATTATTATTATTTTTTTTTTTTTATATTTTTTCATTCAAGCAAAACACTTTTATGGATTCCTATATCTTTGCCATTCTCGTATAATATTATACAGTGTTTTAATCAATCAGATTCAATCACACAGATAATGTATTCCAGCTGATACAAGTTTTTTATTTAACTTTACATTTGATGTGTTATTTTCACAGTACAAAATATAATAATTATTTAAATTGTAAACTATTATATAATAATATTCAAGCCGTTTTTGTTTTACATGCGTTACTACAACATTTATTTATCAAAACATATCACAATATATCAGTCATATTAATTACAATTCAATGGTTTTAGGGATTCTTTGACATGTGCATAATATTTTTCAATGTCAATAATGACACACCGATGGTGTATCTGTTCACTAACAGTCAAAGTAAATAACTGTACGTCTTCGTACAATTTCCAAAAATTAGTTCTTAGGATGGTTAAGCGTTTCACTTCAAAATAAATTAAAATTATTAAACACTGTAATATATTATACTGCAATGCAATGTTATGCGTCTACAGAACAAAAAAATAAATTAAAGTCACATTAATAATTATGATAAATAAAAATAATTATAATAATGCGACAACAAACGTTATCATTTTATTTTGAGCCAGTCAATTTATTGTTAGTCATGTTATCAATATTTCTTTTTAGGTACGTCAACTCGAGATACGTCAGCCCGCCAGAAGCCATCTGGCGATTGTTTTCGTACAATTTGCACGGCAAAAGTCACGTTGTCTTCAGGCTTCCCGTTCACCTGGAGGGTCGTCAGAACGTGTACTTTGAGCCGGGCCAAGAATAAGAACGGCTACAGAACCAAGCCGTACGTCACACGAAACTCACGCAGTTCTTCGCGCTCAACGCGACCAACGCGGAGGCCCGACAGTACTTGTACCACGACATACCGACGCATTACACGTGGCAGGTTCCACGGCCAGAAAGAAATCTCGGAAATCTCAGACAGTGGTGTCCGCGGCTCATTCGGATGGCAACCGTTACGTTGGCTCGGATGTACGTAGTCAACCCACTGGACCGGGACCGTTTCCACTTGAGATTGCTACTTCTGAACCGAAGAGGCCCGCAGTCCTTTCAAGACCTAAGGACGGTGGATGGGGTCGTTCACGAAACATTCACGGCGGCTGCGGTTGCACTCGGACTGTTGGAAGACGACCGGGCGTGGCGGGATTGTTTGACGGAATCGGCGACGTTGGACACACCGCGGCAACTGCGGTATCTGTTCGTCACCATACTGGTGTTCTGCGAGCCCTCAAACTCGCTGGCGTTGTACGGCGCGAACGAAGCAAACCTGATGGAGGCCTTCAACAGACGACTCCAAGACGTCGACCGCGCGAGGGCCGCGTGTCTGGCAGCCATCGAGGATCTACTTCGTGCGCACGGAAAGTCGCCGGTCGACTACGGTTTGCCCCTGGCCGACCCCCTTCTACTGGAACCACTGCAGCAGGACGATGCGCTGTTCCGAGTAATAGACGCGGCGGCAAGGTGGGCCCCACAAGTGGACGCCTTGAACGCCGAACAGCGAACGGTGTACGACCGCGTGATGGCGGCCGTCGACGACCCGCGCGAGGCGTCGCGAACTTTCTTCGTCGACGGACCCGGAGATACCGGAAAGACTACGCTGTACGGATGCCTGATATGGTCGCCTCGACACCGACCACAG